TCCTTGATATTGAATGACAACGACGAAACCCATACAGGCAACAATGACTTCCAACACAAGGGAATATTAAGAAAATCGACTGAGAAACAAGGAAAATGGAAAGCAATTCGTCACGCTCGTCCTGACACAACCTTCGTTGTCGCKGGAGAGACTGTTCGCAAGGCGGGCACAAACTACTCAAAATTYGTGGACGATATGCGATTCGTCATCGAAACCAATCAAACTATCATTTATCGTTCCTTGGCAKCAAATATARATTCTACAAGCCACAACGATGGCAACTTTGGTGACAATAATCACCTATGTAGCGTCCTTCGACAAATGACCGGTCAAAAAAGTTTAGATACAGTACCTAAAAGAGGAATTCCTCCAATAACACTAGATATTGCAGCTGACTGTAATGCTATGAACGAACAAATGAAAGGGCAAGGAAGCACAGTATTGGCACTGTACGGTGTTAGAATGATTACTGCTTTGGCAAAAGTGGATTTTGAATTCCACTGCAGCAACAGCTATGACGGAGACAACAATACCACGAAGAATCTCAACAATTTTATGAAAGAAAAGGATAGGAAATTACGATGGGTGTTCCCATGGTTTGCGTCTTACCAGTCCGCAACGGATAGCAATGAACCTTGGCCCTTTCTGGGGAACGCGCCGACTCAGGATCAAGTATGCTCYTCTTCCAATATCAATGCTGATTATACTAGTAACAARATGCCACTGGAAAAGATGGCCGATCTAATGCGAAACGATGTTCGAAAAATGGCACTTCAACTCATTGGCAGTCGAACAGATGTTCCTAAAAGGGTCCATCCGCTCATACCGTTAGATGTTGAACCATGGATCCCTGATATTTCAGTAGATGATGTCATTATTCATTTACCCTGCCATAACGATGCACATGGTAGGGGATTAAACTCAATSAGAAGAATTGACCGAGTCGGCATTTTGCAATTTCGGGAATACACGAAGTACATTAACGAGGATGTCAAATCAATTGGAATCATAACTGATAGTCAAGGGGAAGTGGAGGAGAGTTCAAATCAAGATATTTATGGAGAGTGCTATGGTGCAAGTAATTTGTTGTCAGAATATCTACAGGAGTTTTATTCCGGTCAGTCAGTCAACATATCGCTTTACAACAACGATACTTTCCCTTTACAATATGCTCGGATCGCAATGGCTAAACAAAGCTTTAGCTCCTTTAGCACTTTTGGTATGGTTCCGATCATTGGATCATTCGGGGAAGGCTATTTTCAACCATCAGTTTCCATCACTGAAGGCAACGATTACATTGAAAATAAAATAATTCGAAGAATTATCTCTGGGAAATACAAAGGTTTTGAGAACATACGGCTTATGAGTGGCAATGTTCTTTCTCCAAAGAATATTTCTACGATGAAGTTGAACGAAATCGCGGAATGGTTGTCGGCATCTTCTTGATTACACCACATTAGTTAATCATGTGGTGTTATTCATCGAAAAGAACAAATATATGAAAATTCTCAATTCTTTATAAAATACAAAATACAGTACTCTTTCCGTCCGTTACGTACAACCTTCGTACGAGTACTCGTACCGTARTTTCGGAGTGAACTGCTGACGAAAAACACTGATTTATTCATTCAGGAGTCCTTGTGTCCTCAAAGCGCTAGCGGTAGCTCAGAATGCTTGAGCTTAAATAACGAAGTCCCGTGATATGTTAATACGAGTGAGCTCGAATTTTCGACTTGGTCTGGTCATTGCGCGTTGGGTGAGATCCTTATTTTTTAAGAAGTTCTAGTAACCGTTTTTGAGCGAGCGGTCGCTTTTTTGAAAAAAGGAGTACTACACGTAAAATAACRATTGAAATTACGTTATAATTGAGGCATTTAACGTTAATTTAAAAATTCCTCAATTAACGTAGTTTCAATTGTTATTTCACGCGTAGTACGTTCAAGGAAACAACAATTTCAACTCATTATAACTCATTTTCCATGTACGGTAACAGCGTTTGAGAGAATCGATCACACCGAATGTTGATATTCCTCATACCGTACACTATTCTTTGCTTTACTAAGCATAGTAACTGGATTCCTCCATTTCTTGCTGAAACGAAGCCGAAAACAGTGATAGACGAGAGAAATAGATACGATAAGAAAAATCAATGCGTCGAAGAACATAACATTGTAGCAGTATCTGTATGCATTTGAGAAATCAACCAATTGCCATATCCAAGTGTCTTAATTTGGTTTCAACAAAAAAATATGCACAAATACGCAGAGATACTAGTTCTCCTCTTATGCCTAGGAGGCTCGATCTTTGTCTTGGACAACCAAATGTACCAAGCRCTTTTTTCTTACGTTGACATACTTGAAGCAAATGATGCGGTCGCAACATCAAACTMTTCTTCTGGGGGTAATCTTAGAAAGCCTCCACCATTGTCCTCATTGACTGACACTCCGGATGAATCATCGTTCTTATCGCCGRCCGGAACGTCCTTACTAGAACCTATAGATAAAAAAATCTCAATGTCTTCGTTAGGATTCAGCAACATCACCACATTTGAAGAAGAGACAATGCAACARCGAGGAGAGGAGAAACCTMAAGACATRAACAATGAAAATTYAAATACTTTCATGAAAGACAACAATGCCACACATACCATGCAGTCAGCGAGTTCTGGTTCAAAGCAGACATTAGTCTGGAATATGGATGCACACGAAGCTATCCGGACTGGGGCACAACTTGATACGAAAGGGAAAATATTTCTCGTTGAGGATGAAAAGGGCTATGTAAATAGTAATGGAAAACTCGTGGTTGATGTAAATGAAACCTATCTATTTTGGGACGATGGCCAAGAGAAGCTCTGCAACCTCTTGCARAATATGACGCTCTCCAGACCCCTGGACAAAATTAATGGGACGCCGATTCCGTCTACTGTACTAAATGTGACCATGGACTGCATCGATCACAACCAAAATAAACAGGGTTTTGGACAAGGAAACTGGATAACTGCTGTTTATGCCGCCAGAATGGCTGCGTATCTTGCTGGTGTGGATTTTAACTTTCAATGTCTTGATGGACAAGACTCGAAGATGAGTTTGTTGCTGCCGTGGTTTGATAAATATCAAGAGGCACAACCAACGAATCGAAAACTGTGGCCACACGGCGGGATTCGGCCCACCGAGAAAGAGGCGTGCACTCCAAAATATCCCTTTCTCCGAATCGATAAAATGGCATTTGAGATACAAGATGAWTTGCGAAAGATGGCAGTCACACTTGTGGGTACTAGAGACCAAGTCCGCCAACATCCTGACGTTCCCATAGATGCTACACCTCTAATCCCGGGTGTGGAATTAGACGATGTTGCGCTTCATTTTCGATGTGGAGATGTCCTSGGCGGTTTTAAACGCAGTGACTTTGGAATGATCCGCTTCAGTGAATACAAAAARTGGATACCGAACAACACAGAAAGCATCGGAATTTTGACCCAACCCTTTGACATCCGTTATAATCGACTAAAAGATAGGAAAAATGCTGAAAAATGCAGGATCGTTGTCRACGTATTGGTGGATTACTTGCARGACTTTGCTCCAAATGCAAAGATTTCAATTCATAATGGTGTCAATGAGACCCATCCACTCGCCTACGCAAGACTTGTAATGGCAAATATCAGTATCACATCACTGAGTTCGTTCGGAATATTTCCCATCATCGGAACCTTTGGTGACGGTTACTTCCAAAAAGGGAATCGTGGAGTTAACCCCTTTGCAACACACATTCCAAAGATCTTGCCCAATATACATGAAATGAGGGCCGAWGTTAGAGCAACAGGACAGATGTTAGGCAAATCCATGGAAAACATCGTMGAATGGTTCGTCAACGACACAACCATCCCCTGAAGAGATCTATTGTATCAAAGAATTGTTAAGTTAATWCAACATTAGGGAGAGATGCAAAAATAAAACACGTTCATGTAGATGATGTTCATGATTTGTTGGAGAATCGAACTCGTGTCTTCTTGATCAATCTATGAAAATGTGGGAGAGCGCAAGTTGGTAATTCATGTGGCTCACTTTTTACAGACTGCGACTACTATACCTTACGTTAGTTACACTCTAAGAAGCTCTGGTGAAGGGCAGGTGAAATTCGAAAGCGTTTTTTGAAAGTGTACAATTTTTGGTCTACATGTTATCCTACGATGCGAGTTATTCACAGAAGCCCCTGATTTCCACCAAGATCGTGTCCGGTCGGTGGAGCTACTGAGGTAGCACGAGCATGATCTTGATGCGTTTTCCTCGTGATGTAGGTAATCGGTGTTTCGTCAATGCCATGAACATCACCAGCAAAACATGTGTTTGCGGGACTATTCTTCACATAATAGTTCAACATCCTCGACGAGGCCGGATTGGAAGATTTCACGACGTGATTTTCGTTCCCCGTGTTCTTTCTTGCCTYGATCAATTGGTCCTTGACATCGTTCGCAAGCTTCTTTCCGAGCTCCACACCCCATTGATCAAACGAGTTGATGTCCCAAATGAAACCCTGTACGGCCGTCCTGTGTTCGTAAATCGCAAGCAGTTGCCCAGCTGCGTAGGCAGTGAGCTTTGGCATGAGKAGAGACATGCTAGGACGGTTTCCCTTGAAAACCCGGTGGGGGATCAACTCTTCTTCGATTCCTTCAGCACGTGCTTCATCTTCGGTCTTGCCGTTGGCCAGRGCATCTGGCTGGGCAAAGAAGTTTGCCATAAGTTCGTCGTGCGAGCTCAACGACTCGTTATCCAAGCATAGATCGTGCTGGGACTGGCAGAAGCCGATGAAATCGCAGGGAGCTGTTTGGCCCATATGAAGAAGTTGGAAAAATGAGTGCTGCCCGTTTGTACCAGGCTCACCAAAATCAATCTCACCGACGTTGTAATCAACTTCGACACCGTGCTTGGTCATCACCTTTCCGTTGGACTCCATGTCCAGCTGCTGAATATGAGATGGTAGCCTCAGCAATGCTTCAGCATACGGCAAGGTTGTTCGTGTCTTGTATCCCAAAAATGAATGATTCCAGACTCCCAACAATCCCATAATTACAGGAATGTTCTTTTCCATGGGCGTAGTTTTRAAATGTTCGTCTACGGATTGCGCACCCTGCTCTCACAAAACAACAAAAGCCGACAAATAAGTGTTATTTTCATCTGAGTACAAAAACTAGGCGCACAGAGGAAGCCATTTCATTTCCACTCATAACAAGCTTACGTACCTTCAAAAATTGTTCGAAAAGATCAAAACCGTACATGAGACTGATTGGAACGGCGCCTACAGCGCTACAAACGCTGTATCGTCCTCCAACCCAGTCCCAGAATCGGAAAAAGTAGTTTTCCGTGTCGATTCCAAATTCCTTAACCTTATCAATAGAGGAGACAGACGCACAGGCTACAATGTGCTTCTTGACGACCTCCTTGTCGTTCCCCATGAAATCCCAAAGCCACTGGCGCATAGCACGAGCGTTCAACATGGTCTCGGCAGTGGTAAATGTTTTCGAGACGACCACAATGAGGGTTTCCTCGGGGTCGAGATCAGCGCAGGTCCGTTCCACGTCAATGGGATCAACGTTGGCCAGAAATCTCAGATTGTATCCAAGAGCAGAATTAATTCCCTCTGGCTCGGTCTTGAGAACCTCGTGGAGAAATTCAGGGCCRAGGTATGACCCACCGATACCAACTGAGATAATATTCCTGATGCGTTTGCCGGTGTATCCCAGAATTTCACCATTACGAACACCTTGCGTGAAGTGTTTGATCTGGTCTAGAACCTGGTGAACCTCGTCCACTACATTGACTCCATCCACCATGATCTCTTCCGATCGATCGGCGCGAAGTGCTGTGTGCAAGACCGCGCGTTTTTCGGTAAAATTGATCTTTTTGCCCGTTACCATGTCCTGTATGCGTTCTTCGAGGCGCTGTGTTTTTGCCAAATCTTGGAGCAACTTCATGGTTTCCGAGGTTGCCCGTTGACGGGAAAAATCAAGATAGACGCCATCGTGTTCGGCGTACATTGCCTCGGACCGTTCTTCCTCCATTAACAAATCGCGCAAGTGGATTTTGTCGATGTCGGCTTTGTGCTCTTCTARTCGTTTCCATTCTGGTTTTTTAGAAACAAGCCGCGACTTTGAGTCTGCGTTGTCGATATCCTTGTTTTCTGGTTTTCGCGGTTGCTGTTGTCCGGGATTCCTCCCGAACCTTTCGTGCACTAGACTTTTCATCGCTCGATTGTGGTGTTCCAATCCGAGCCCGGGTTTGGCAATTCGAGTTGGTATACTCAGTTGAGGAACTTGCAAAAAGTTCTTGTTACTTGAGTTGTTATTCTCGTTATTATAGCTTTCCTTGTTGTTGTYATTTTCCAAGGGATCAGGTGAGAAGTGTTGAGGAGTAGGGGAATCAGCGTCTAACTTTTTGTGGTAAATGTCTTCCGTAAACGTCGTCGAAGCCATGGTCGATGAAGTGGATTCCTCGAAATGATGTTGTTCCAGCATCGATCGAAGCTCCTGTTTCTGTCGAGTGACCTTGCCATCGTTGTCAAAGTCGTTGTCGAAATCTTCGGGCATTTGCGGCGACGAAGACTTGCGGGGACGACCGGCCAGGACACAGAGGTTCGTAGGAACCGGTCGGAGGCGTGGTCCTCTTCCAAATCGCAACAGACTGCCCGGTGACCAGGCATCCGTCAGCGTTGCCGACAACAAGAGGCTATTGAGGAGGCAGACAAGGAAAAGGTCCAGGTGAGTTATTTTTCTCGTCATTATTGGTTGTTTCTTTTTGGAGTGATGGAATTGGAGGCGTTGGGTTTATTTTGCGCCGACGATATGGCAGGTTGGGATAGCAATCGAGTCGGAATGCTTTCTGTGTCACAAGTTAGGATGCGTCGTCGCCATCAAGTGAGAAATTTGGTTTCTTGATGAGCAGACTGATGCACTGGAGATCTTGTGTTCCGGCAGAGTTTGTTACAGCAAGCACCTATTAATTTGGAGAATTGGAACGCTTTTGTCTATCGTACGGACAGAAAGGGTAACCAGCTGCATTGCAAAAAGATACTTTGTGCCGATAAACGTTGAAGAGGCCTCGATGTTCCACTTCCTACTCTCTCGTGCGCAGCAAATTGGTGACCCATGCACATGTCGTAGTGGAAGTGTGTGTGTGCATGTGTGCGAAGCAAATGTTGGTTTGCCACCACGATAGAGCGCGTGCGGGCATGCAGGAGTGGACAGAGAACACATGGAACGCAAAATGCAGGAAACACATCGATTTTGTTCCAAAGAATAAACTCGCACGAACCCTGCGCGCTTGGATTCGGTTCAATGAGAATGTTTTTTCCTGTAACGCGCACTGCGCCGTGACGTCAGCGATGGAGTTTGTACGGCATTTTGTCGCAGCTGCTTTTGATGCAACATGTCGTGACGAGCCGATTTTTGCGTCAGTTCTTCTCTCAACAGTCATTCTGGTCGCTCCCGCCCGTTGGAAACAATTTAAAAAATAACCACCTAGCGAGGCGCGCTRTCCGAAGTGCGAATGCAAAAAAATATTTTTGCAAATTGTGTGCGACGAGATGGCACGAATGAAAAATCGAGAAGAAACCTACCTCGTTGAAGCCATTATCACGATGATAACGAGAAGTGAGATCGGCGGTTGGGAGCGTTTGCCGTCAAAAACAACCACAGAGTGGCGACCCATCGTCATCGAACTTTAACCGGTTTGATCAGAAAAATTTTGGCTAGCTCTTGCTGGTAACTTTGCAAATAAATTTTGAACGAAGTCAGCTTCCACAATCCGGATCTCTGTGCTATGAAAAKCTGCTTAAGATCTGGGAAAATGATTTGTGCGCAGTGTTTGTCACCAATGCGTTGTCAAGTTCAACCCAATGACATGGTATGTGCATAAAATAACGGCCGAAGTTGGGCGGAAGCGAGCTCGTCGTGTTTGGAAACAGGTCGAGATACCGTCCTGCACCGTAGATTATGCGTCGGCAGTGGCCAATCGAATCTCTCGACTCACCGAAGATTCAATTTCTACCATACGTCCCGATAGCGTAGGTAACTAACGTAACTAACGTAAATAACGGTAGATTTCTAACGGTAGATTCATTAGAATTCTGCATTACCCAAGTCTTGAGTCATCGACGTATGAGTAAATCACCGTACGTCCGGTAGATTCATTAGAATTCTGCATTACCGAAGTCTTGAGTCATCGACGTATGACTACAGAGGGCATAATTATGYCAAAAAGTTTCTTTGTTGTGTAACAGCGCACAAAGTTATTTTTTCAAATCCTTCGAGGTTAATACTTAATACAGTAATTAATAGCTGCCTGGTACCGTATTACTGTAGGGTACGTACGTATGTAACTCGTTCCCTAGTTCCTATCCTAGTGTGTGTATGTTTTACATATGAGTACAAAACGATACCCAAGTACTGTACCTACCKGTACTTCCCTTTGTAGTGAAAAATTGAGAACGTTCCATTCGTGATTCAAGATTAATACGAAGCACCGTACGAACTGTGTTACCGGTACTAGAAGTAGTTTTTTGTCTTACGTACGTGAAAGCATGTTGGTCCGGTGCTGGTAGTATTCACTGTATTTGGGCGAACGGACGCACGGACTGGATTGAAAAAGTTTGTTGAAAAATTCTGAGTCTTGGAAGAACAACTGTAGTAATGGCTGTCTTATATGAATTGTCATAACCCCTTTAGTCCTAGAAATAGATCAACGCATTTTACATACGGTTGGAGAACCTGTCAATCGTTCATAATATGGTTCTGGTCGAGAGTTGTCACTGTTGGYATCTCTTTACGATTAGATCAAACGCCACGACGTTGAAAAGGTACGGATTTATGTCGAACGGTTCCGTAATTAAACAGTGCACACTCCATCGTCCTTTTAACCGGCTCGACACTTTGTTCGCAAGCACRAGTCAGCCAATGCTCATAATTATCATCCCATTCGGAACGTATCTATTGTACGAATGTGCTTAGAGAAATCTGATTTCTCATCAAGCAAGAGTCAGTCAAAGCTCATTCAAATCATCTCGCACAACAAATAAATCAACGCAGCAGAGAAACTGAGACGACAACAATAAAAAGATGACAGAGGTAATCTTCTCTTCGCATTTCGCCAGATCTCATCATCCTTGTAATCACCACCATAGCCTGCAAAAATCATCAAATAGCGACTTCGTAGATACCAAAAAGAAGACCTTGATGACAACAGAAGCGACGGATTTTATCTTCCTAAACCAGGCCCTACCGATTGATTTCGAACCGGGAGAATTCGACGTCATTTGTAGTCAAGGAAAAAAGGCAAAGGTTCATACTGGAAACATATATTTCCGTGCTGTCGTGCAGAAGCGAGCCAAAGAGTATTCTAAGACGTTTGGGAAAAAGGACAAATCCAAGATTGTCCGAGATATTATTCAACACATTCAAACAAAGAGCCCCAGTGGCGGTTTTGTCCAAAAGATTGCGGTCACGGAAACCATCAAGGGTCGATGCAGCTGGAAGCTCATAGACGCCGAAAGGGCCCGCGAAAAAGTGTCCCAATGTCTTCGCAATATACTAGTAGGTCAATATCGTTCGTCGCAGGACGCCAAGAAGCGTAGCCGAAAAGAATCGAATCTGAAAAAAATCATCGACTTCCAGGAAATTGTGGCTTCGAATCACTTTGTTTCCGAAAGAATACGCCAGCTTGCCATGATGATCCGAAAAAATTGCCTTTCAGAACCACAATTCCTTCGGCTCATGAGCAAAACGAATCTAGAAATTCTTCTTGAACTCAAGAATGATCAAACGGTACAACGGAAAGTGCAATCAAGAACGCCATCAACGGTTCGGAACCATGAGGAGGAGGTAGAATTCGCCAATGAATCCTTCCCATCTCCCAYCTGTGGCGTTGATGAGATCTTGAAAAAGTTCCAAAGTGACGAGATGTATATTTTGTTGCAACAACCCGATACAAAGAGACGCAAGACAAAATAGAGTAGTAAAGATAAGTTCAAGATAGAACCATCTTTTGAGAATTGTCGAAGTGAAAATAAAATGCAAACTCTTCACCAATATTCAGCAAGAAGTATGGAGGGAAAGTTCGTACGATATCTTGGTTTGCACGTGCCTGCAAAAACCTCAAGACAAATATAATAATCGACCTTTTCAAAAATAGTGCATTTCCCTGTTTCTACAAGAAGTGTATTACTCTATCGTAGTATCATATTGTCAATTCTTTTTCGACTTTCTTCTCTGTCAGGAAAAACGGTATCTTTCTCTCCGTTGTTTCTTTTTCCTTCGTATCATCCGCCATGCTTTCGACGACAACGGAAGCAGTTTCCTCTTCTTTCTCTTCTTCCTTCTTTTCTTTCTCAACGGCAGCGGCAGTAACTTCCTCTTCCTTCATATCGTCAACAACAGTTTCGACCTTGGCGGTGTCCTCCTCTTCTTTTTCTTCCTTGCCAACGACTTTAACTGTTGCTTCTTTGGATTCTGTAGTCTTCACGGGTTCTTTTTCATTATCTCGTGCGTCCAAAAAGCTCTTGACTTCCTTGGCTTTTTCGTATCCAAAGGTTACGCAATCGGGAAAGGCAACACCGGTTCGGTAATTACCACATACCCAAAGTCCAGGATGTTTCGCTTCGGCCTCTTCAAGCTCTTTCATGATTGGCAAATGTCCCAATTCGTATTGAGGAATGGCGGTAGGCCATACCTTCATACCAATAACCTTAGCAGGAGGTGCGTCGCTTTTAAGCAATACCTGTCGGCATCCCTTGTCGACTTCGGCAATAATTTCTTCTTCCGACAAGTCGGCAAGTCCAACATCTCGCGACCCACCAATGTAATTCAACAACAGGTTGTAATCCTTGGGAGCACGCCCGGGGAAAAGCGACGACGACCAGAGAGTTCCAAGCGTTCGTACTCCTTCAGAGCGGGGATTGAGACTACCAAACCCAGGCAAGTCTTGGAGGTTTCCAAAACCATTTGGCAGTTCCACATCCTTGAACGATTTTTTGGGATACGCAACGGTAACAGCTGCAACGGGAGGATAGTAGACCCCGATGCGATCTATGTCCTTTCGGACTTTCTCGAAGATTTCCTTGGATTCTTCCATCACGGGTTCGAGCACATCACTAATACAATGAGCAGGCACAGTAGATACAACAGTTTTCGCTTTGACAGTTTTGGTTCCTTTTGGTGTTTCGAATGTCGCCTCATAGTATTCGCTGCCGTCGTCGTTGGTCTTCTTCTCGATTTTCGTTGCTTTGTGTTCCAATCGAATCTTTTCTCCGAGTTCCTTGGCAATTGCGTTCGGCAGTGTGGCGAGTCCGTCTCGGAAGGAACCGGGGTTTCCGTACTCAAACTCGGGCCATTCGGGAGCGGGTGGGTCGGCCTTTCGTTCTTTCGTCAAAGCGACCTGTCTCTTTAGACCACCGTAGAAAAGAGCTCCGAATTTGTTCCAACCAATTGAATAAGAAATATCTTCGATGCGAGCAATTTTTGGCAGGGCTGCCTTGATGGCCAACGTCTCGGGATTCCCGGCATAAACACCCGACACGAAGGGRTCAATGCATCTCAGAAAGACCTCCTCTCCCAAGATACGAGTCACCCATTCACGAATGGTTTCTTCCTTGCCTTCGGGAGCGGGGGCGTGACCCACGAAGGCACCGATACCCGCACGAATTTTTCCAGGCCACGATAGGAGTTGCCCCAAGAGGGCGAATTTCAGGACACCATTTGGTCCAAAGACGAGCTCGATTTGTCCCTTCGGGCCCTTTCCCCCCTGCCCTTTGGGCAGCGGGTGGAGCTTCCCGTTGTGGTTGACCCACGGTGGTAACGATTCATTGGCAAATACCAATTGGTCGTCGATGCCCAGCTCGTAAGCAATTCGAACGACGCTGGGCTGTGTTGCATACGAGTTGGGGCCTTCCTCCCACAAGAATCCTTCCTCTGTGCGGTGCGATTTGACGTTCCCTCCCAAATAGTCCCGAGCTTCTGCCAGGACAACGTCAACGCCGTTTTTATTTAAGTTGTGCGCCAGAGTGCTACCGGAAATTCCGCCTCCCAAAACCAAACAATCGGCAAGATCACTGTCAGAAGAGGAGGAAGCTCTCAACTCCATCAGCGATGACGAAACACTTTTGAACGCGGACGGAGCGAACGCCAAGGTCGACTCTGTCGACAGCAGAAATAGCAGCGTTGAGAGTGATAATTTAACCATTGTTACGACTGGATATTCGATTGTAGTGTGTGTTTCGGTAGGATGACAATTTGTCCAGTGGATGTCGTCCTTGCCTGGATTGCGGCTTTGTCAATGGATTTTGGCAGGAAATACCGGTTACGCGTTCTCCGGTTGTCTGGATTCTCAGAAGAATCCATCCCCTGTTTCGGTTGCGAACGCTAAAATCTTGAGTTTTCCCCCATGTATCGTTGTGAAACTTAGCTTCAACCTATCATGACGCGTGTTTTCGAGAACATCTTACACCTGGAAACCAGTCGTACGGTACGGGTATCCGATTGACTTCGTACGTACGGTACTGTAGAGACAAAAAGATTAATGATTTATTTAAGGGGTGTCGTGTCGGGGTACCCTATCGAAATTCGACCTTTTTTGGGGGGGAAAATAGACGTCATAAAATGTTGGCATCAATTTCGCGCTATTTTCTTTCTTCGATGACTACGAGTACGAGTACCACAATTCTTCGTATTGTATAATACGTACTTCTACGTTAGAAGTACGGTACGTAGTAAAATCAGTTCAGAACAAGAACGGGAACTCGAAATGGGTACGGTACGGTACAGTAGATATTCGTACATGCTAGAAGTACTAATAAAAGATTTTAATGATGCCCAGGTAGAAACCGGGTTGAAATCATTAGTACCATTCTCGTTGAATCATTCGCGGTGCTGTACCGGCACGTACCTGTAGGCCAGGACTAGTACAATCAATTAACAAAAATGTTTCTGACAACGAAATTCAACGAAGATTTTGGCTTACATTCTGGAAATATCAGKAAGCAAGGCAACTGCAGTACCTCAAATCTATCACTTCTGGTCATCAATCACTTACTCGACTGTAACGATCCTCATACATAAAGCAGATGAACAAAGGCATGTCGTCTTACAAGACCATTGATGAGGGAGCAACGCCCAAGCGCCCGAGACCGCTCTCGACAATGACGCCTCCAGTTCATTCGTCCAGTCGGTCTGCGTCTGCACGAACTATCACTCCTCCCGAATCCTCTATAGTGGATTTGACGCAAGAAAACGATGACGATGATTGTTTGGTAGTGAACACTTGCGGCCGATACAGAAATCACGCCACCCGAAGTAGATGAGGTAGCCGTGCAGCACTGCAAATTTGCTTCTTTCAGTACTGTTGTTGTAGGAATCCAGTGAGTACAATTTAACGATGATATTCCACTACATCCTAAATGAGGAAGCACTATCTCATTTCAGTTTGTCACTGTTACTCTTTACATTATTGTCTATTGCACTCTGGACTTCGATAACATGTTGTCATCAACAACAACGCGAACAAATACGATAGATATTATGATGGAGTGGCACACGCAGGAGAATTCATSAATATTGTTCGTGAACCCAAAAATCCTTACGACTCTAATGCGATTCGTGTGGACAACCTCCAAGGCAAAAAGGTTGGGCACATCAAATGCCAATGGGCAGCGATCATCGCGCCATTCATGGATCGCTACTGCTCGAGTAGCAGCCGGGACGAAAGCAATCCTCCCGAGTTGGCCTTGTCACTCGTGGGCACAATTCTTTTCGGAGGAGGTAGTTAAACTCTGCCGTTGAATATTGAGTTCGTCGCCTTTGGAGCTGCCTCGACGATGGACGAGTTGTTGGACCGTTTGCGACCGTTGGCTCTTGACATTAAGAAAGCCTTCAAACGCCAAAAAGACTTTCGAACGGAGGCGAACATCACCAAGAAATCGAAGGCGGCAGCGATCGTCGAAAGCAAGACCATGGATTGGACGACACAGGCCAAGGAATTAGATGCATTTTTCGATAAACAATCAGAGCAGCAGTTGAAAGATCTCCCGGAAGTTCCTGTGCCATCACAGCTCAAAACCGAATTGCTCGATTATCAAAAAAACTGGACTGCAATGGCTGGTAGAGAGGGATAACAATCCGAAGGTTCCTTGCTTATATTCTCAACGAAAAGAAAAGAATGCTGATGTCTGGTACTGCAATATCACGAAGGCATCGCAACCGACCAAGCCGGGAACGGTTCAGGGAGGTATTATGTGTGATGAAATGGGTCTGGGAAAGACGCTGCAATTGATCTCGCTCATCCTGGCAGCCCCACCTCAGTCTACTGGTATTCCTGGCACTTCAAAGGTCGCCAACCTACACCAACCACATTGCACACTGATTGTGTGTCCCGTAAGCGTGATGTCCAACTGGCAGCGGCAGATCGACCAACATGTGGACGAAGGCGTACTCAACGTGGGTGTTTATCAAGGTCCGTCACGAGCCACGTTGCTACAGAAGGTGAAAGAGGGAGAAATCAACGTTTTACTAGTATCCTATAATACGTTAGCTGCTGATTATACAAAGATATTTGGCAAAGCGAAAGACGACGACGGGAGCAAAATTCCGGCAAGACCGAAGAAAAAACAAAGACCAATTGACTCCATTTTCAAGATCCCATTCCATCGCATCTGTTTGGACGAAGCTCATATCATTCGGAACCCCCGTAGTTGCTTCTTCCGTGCCTGCAATGAAGTTTCGGCACAACGCAAGTGGGCCGTGACGGGAACTCCTTTTGTCAATAAAGCGGATGATATCTATTCTTTAATGGTATTCTTGGGTTACGAACCTCTTAATGACATGAAGATTTACCGTCGCGCCATTTCTTTTCCAATTCAAAACAACGACGAAGAAGCCGGATTGGCTTGTTTGCGAGTAGCCATGGCAGATGTAAGTCTTCGACGCTCCAAAGACACGGCCGGTATCCAACTGGTTGACAAGACGGTCCAGCTAACAAAAGTTTCCTTCGAGGAAGGCGATCCGCACAAGGCTATCTATGATGCCCTGTTTGGCAGCGTTCGAGTTGCATTCGAGGCCGTCTTGCAAAATGGAGAAAAAGAAGTTCTCAAGAATTATTCCAATATTTTTGAAAAGCTTCTGCGACTGCGCCAGGCTTGCTGTTCTGGAAAGCTCGTTCCATTAGAACGCCGTCAACGGGCTCTAACAGTCTGGAACGAATTGAAACAACGTTCAAACAACGATCAAACCCCCAAATTAACGGCCGAAGAAGGTTTGGAACTACTGGAGAAGCTCAAAGATGCTTTTGACACGGATAAGAACAAYAACAATGAGCTTCCGGAGTGTGCCGTGTGTTTAATGGAAATGGAGGAAGCTCAATGCATCATCTTGAAGAAATGCTCCCATGTCTATTGCGAAGATTGCATCAATCGCGTATACACCACCAACTTAGGGCGATCCAAGTGCCCGCTCTGTCGTAAACCGTTCTCCAAGTCAGATATGATCAGGAAGAGTGCAGCGACTGCCGCCACACAAATCGATAAGAGAGAAGTAGCCATTCATGACGACAACATGAGAAGGTCTCCCAAAATTTCCGCTTTATTGAAGATTATCCAAGCTGGAATGCATCCTGACGAGAAAGGCGTCATTTTCAGTCAGTTTACTAGCTTCCTTGACCTCATTAGTCAGGCTCTGCAGGAGGAAGGGCATACCTTTGTGAGAATGGACGGTTCTATGAACACGACGAAGCGAATGGCAGCAGTTCGGGCGTTCTCGTCTGATGAAAAAGACGGTCCCCGTTTTATTTTATGCAGCCTACATGCCGCGGGAACTGGAATCAATTTGACTCGCGGATCAAAGGCGTTCATGATGGATTGCTGGTGGAATGCATCTGTTGAGAATCAAGCAAGTAAGTGCAGTAACTTTCATGACATCCAAACTGGTTGACAAAATGCTTAATCAATACACAAAAAATAACCCTTCTTCCTTCCCTTTTTTAGTGGATCGAATCCATCGAATTGGGCAGACACGACCCGTGACAATTTATCGCCTTGTCATGAAAGACTCTTTGGAAGAACGGATCGTAGAGCTTCAAACTGTTAAGAGCCTTCAAGCGAAAGGCTCGATGCAGAAACTTGGAGCTGAGGAAAAGAAGAAAACCCGTCTACGAGATCTGAAGGGTCTTTTGATGATCGAATAAAAATATTTTTGTAAGAAATACGATTGTGGAATCGCCATTAAATCAAGGAAATGTGTTCCAAATCAGGGATATTATCTCCATTTTGCTTTATTTGAATTATGAGACTTACATATGCAAATTTTTGAAAGGGTCCATATAAACTTTTCCTCGTTCCAAGATCATTGACCATTGTTGGACGAACAGTTTTTGGAAATCGATAAGCGAATTAAAATTGCATGCTGGTATCGTAGCAGTTTATCAAAAAGGTCAATACACTAGTCGCTCTTTTTTGGGCATCAGTGACCTATTAGAAGGTTCTTCATACTTGTGATTACTATTTGCTGACAAATTATTTACTCTTGCTGGATGTTGTGTGCAAGCATTGTAATATCAATATTACCAATGAAACACTTCTCACTGTAGAATTGAAAGGTTACTTTCATTACAATGCTTGTATTGTATGATCCAGACGATCAAACATCACCTCTAGTAATATTTATAGTTGCCTCTTGGAATATGCATCATGAGCAAACTACTAGCTGCCCATACCATGCAATGCAGTCCATGTAATGAATGGATAAGGGTTTGAAATTTATCCTATTGGTGAAAGTTTGCAATGCCAAGGAAGTGCAAACTAAACAAGGATTTTGAAAAAGTAGAGGGCCATTTCCCATAAACATAGAATCTATGAAGCTACATAGAATTTTCAATTGTGCACACACATAGATTTAAAATTAGACTTTGATACACAGATATATTTGTCCAGTGACAAGGACTTCCAAAAGTAAGTATGCACACACATAGATTTTAGGAATCCTTGATTCAAAATTCTGAATCATGAAGAGCGTGGGGAGCCCAAAATTTTGCACCAAAACAAATCTAAAGTGTCACAAAGAGTACAAAAACAGATCTCAAAAATTGAAGTAAACTAGTACCTGTACCTCTGATAGTAGCAGCATCAAATGGACACCTTTGTAACCCAGCCAGTGAATGTTACAAATTTGTCATTCTTTTCAAAGAAGAAAATTCCACCATGTTACTAGAGCTCATCRACATCTCTTGGGTTCTCTACAACAAGGAGAACAACAGAGAAATTACTCCTGGGGACTGTTGTTGGAGGGATAGGAGAACACCATGGACAGCAATCAGAAGAAGATACAATGAATCACCATTTGTCCATCTTGTTGCACCTGGTAACAACTAAGCCCCTCTAGATTATTGGGGTTTCAACCAGAGGGTTGTCTACTTGTGGCTCTGTTTGAACCAGTTTTCAATGCAAACAAATCACCAGTAGGTGTGCCTTTACCAGGGATAGGGAGGTGTCATGAAGAAAACTCCTTTGTTTTAGCCTCGGAATYTTGCTACATTGGTTCTGTACAAGAGTATCAGTTACAATATCTCTATTGATGACATTTGGGCTTACTTCTAGTGTGATGTACTTTAAGTGGATCAAGTTCTTTTGCTGTGTTCTCCTTGTTGTCTTCCAAGACCATCCCGACACTAGGGTCAGAGCTCCTACTACTACTACCAGGCAGCAAGGATCTTGGGTACTGATAATGAATTAAAGGTTACATTGTAGATGCCATCAAATTGGGCAGTACAAAAACATTATTACTTCAATACATGGACAGTCAACAAAAACATCAATAGTGCCTTTGTCTTTGGACCAGATGGGAAAATCAGAATTGCCCATACAATTGCCCAGGCTAGTGACATGATAGCACAATGTCTAAGTATGATGTGTTTCAAAAGATGGAGCACATATACCACTTGCATGGTGGGGAAAATGTAGTAATTGACTTGGCATTGAAGCTTTAGGAAAAGAACTTCCTCATCTGCTGTACTAGTTCACAACAGGATCTAGGTACCATAGACAMTGGTGCCACTGGTGACAATGACATGGTCATTTCTGTCAATAGAGCCTTTGACAGCTATCTGAATGGGGCATGAGAATCACCCAAGAGGACTGAAGGCCAAGCTTCCACGTGAAAAACATGGTGACCAGAAGATCCTGGTGAATGTAGCAATCCCATTGTACAATTACCAGGCCAGTGCTGTAGGCATCAATGAGATCACTAATGTGTTCAATTGATTCACAGCATGATGTGATTCATCTTTTGAGAGGGCAACTAATATCTTGAACAATCAATTTTGATGAGAATCATTGCAGCTAGAGCATGGAAACATGTGCTTACTTATCAATAGACAGAGCACTATCTATTATTGAAACCAAAACCAAACAATACAATATGCATAACACATAAAAAAAATTAACATGAGATAAAGAAACAAAAAGCTACAGCTATTCATTACTATCTAGATAAAAGGCCATATTACATAGCTAGTGCTAGTAAATTAAATGGATTAGGAATATATTTGTATGGACTGACAATAATGTAATACTGCTGCTTGCCTCAGTCTGCTGGTGTGTTGGAGGACTTGGAATCTGTACTTGAGATAGGTGCTATGGCATTTAAACCCCCTACATCTGCTGGTGTGGGGCTGAAGTGCTGCATGGCAATGGTAACAAGAAAAAGGAAACCCAAGAAATTGATTCCAATAGCTTTGTAAGATTCCTTCCTCTCTTCTATGTCTCTTCAGCAGCTCTGTTATGTTGCTGAAAGGCCTTCTTGTTCTTCAGTGCAGACATGATTCCACACTTTGTAGTACCAATAGAAGAATAAGAATGGACTGCTATTAAAGAAGAATGACATGCTTGTCTTGGTGCTTTTTCATTGACAACTTATGATAGAAAAGCAACTGCAGCAGTCAATGCATCTGCTACTACTAGCCATAATCCTGGAATGAAATGACTCCATTCCACTGATCAGGCCCAATAGTAGGAAGCTTCTTGCTTGTGGATAAATCTCATCAAGTCAACAGCAGTTTCTTGAGAATAGTTTGATGTACTAGTACTACCAGTTCTGCCCCCTCCCTTTTGCTGCTACCCTGTCTTGGTGGTGACTACTAGTAGTAGGCTATAAAAAGAGATGGTAGTAGTTCTACTGGTTCCTCTGTAAGCTGCTGCAGGCGGTAGGACCATGATTCATGTTTTTTTGAGTTCATCATCAATGCCTTTCAATAGTATGAGGAAACTTTTGGATTTGCAATACCTTTCAAGGGGGGTTCTTGGCGTTATCACCGAGGTTCTTGGGGTTCTGGTGCTGATTTCTAATGTAGACATGACTCCATCAGGGTTCTTCATTGCCTTCATGCCCCTTTTAGTGGACTGAGTATACAAACTGGTTTGTGATATTAGTAGATAAAAATACAGAGTAGATAAAACATGGTGCACCTGTTTGTTGATGTGTTTGCCTGGCATTTTGGATTTGTACTAGTGAGATGTGGTGTTCYTAATATTTTGGATTTCTTGTTTTAGAGCAAATGCAGTAACTATTTTTGGGTAATTCAAAGTTCAATTCCATATTCCAAAATAAGCACATGTAGCATTCCTAATTGGGTCATTCCCAGAATACCAGGCACCTGGACCTATTACTTGGCCTTCTTGGTTAGTAACAGGTATGAAATTTAAGCTCATATGAGCCATGTTAGGTGTGTTATGCATAATATATACTAGAACAAAAAATCTAGATGGTGGAGGTCAAGAGTGGGTGGACTTCCACTATCTGGGTATTTTGTTACCCAAAATCCTAGAATGTCACCAATATTCTGGGCCTCTGGTATTCTGGGAATGACCCATTGGTGTTGATAGAAGAGTCTATGTCCTCTCTGCTGTAAGTTTCATTCCCATACCCAAATATGTAAAATCTATGTCAAATACTTTTATGTGAACAGGAATGATCCAATATTGCATTCTGAGTCACAGTTTGAACATGGATAATGAACAGATAACAGATTCTGTGGTACAAACCTCCATTGTTTCATGACCCTGCTGATGTTTGAATATTGGAATCAAGCAATATGTTTGGCTGATTAGATGGATCAAAATTATCAAAAATAGTACAAGACAAGATTTACCCCTTTGAAATCCAGTTTTACCCCCTTTATCCAATTTTCTCATGCAATAATTTTATCTGTCTACTAATCAGCCAATCTGGTATTTTTAATTTTTGAACATACTGTCTAGTCCAGTTTTTAATACTGATTCTGAATATACCAATTTGTTGGGCATCAAATTGATTCTTGTTATATTACACCACCACTGTTGAATAGTGACTAAGATCATTAGTAGAAATTACTACTACTGGGGAATTAGTAGGAGAAATGGATGAAGGACAGATAGTTCGAATTTTTGCTAAGGACTAGTAGACTGGCGGGATTGACTGGTGGACAAAGGATAGACCATTTCTGCTGCAAATACAATACTACTAGTAGTAGTACTATTACTATGTACTAATCTTTTGCTACTACTAGTACTACCACCAGCCCTTTGTAGGTGCTTCAAATTCTGAACCACAGACAACAATAAYACCTGACAAACACTTACCACTTGACTCTCAACCATATGAGAGATGTGCATCTGAACTTTGAGATCAGAGAGTGATTGGAAGTGTTCCTGCTGTGCATGAGCAAGGTCTTTCAGGTGYACTTTATGGAGGAGTGTTATGCAATAAAAATGAAGTGAAAAAAATCTCTAGTGATTTTTTTCTTATTGGTGTGAAATGTATGTATGCTCTTTTTTGTCGTATAATTATGAGTTTACAATAAAGAGTGAGCTTATTCACTATCTACTCGTGATTTGCTAGGCAAATTCTGGCAAAAATACCCAAGTTGTAGTCGTCACATAAACCGTTTTCATGGTGTCGCGCTAATCGCGCGGTGAAGGAGCCTCTAATTTCGTAGTTACCCCCGGTTATATCTTGCCCGCGTTGTTTATTTATTTCTGTATCACCGTGCTACCTTGTCCCGCAATATATTTTCTCGAAAACAATAATATTTTCATCCTGTGCAAGATATCACATATCGCTAGCCCTCAAAACAACCATTTGTGTTCGAAAAAAGAATATGTCACCTCTCCAGATTTCTTATTTTCCAATTTTGCAACATGTCTATGTTCTTCACTGCGTTAAGAACCCATCAAACACAACAACTTAATAATTAATCTGTCATGGGT